TACTGGCATGGCCCCATGCTCCCGTGGTTCGGTGATGCAGCCCAGGACCATGTGGTACTAGAGCAGGCACACAGGGAAGCTGAAAGCAGGCAGAGGCTTCCAGTTGGTGTGGGGCTGGAGTGGGAGTGGGTTGGGGGTGCGGTGGGTTGGGGTGGGGCCAGGCTGGCCTTGTTGCTGGCTGCCCGGGCTGCCCCTGGGTCCTACTGCCCCTGGGTCCTATCATCTTTGACGGGCAGCCAGGAACAGATAAATATTAATTTTCTAAATATTTTTCGGGGCCCCATGGGACACAGAGAATGGCTTGGTGGGCTGCATCTGCCCTGAGGGCCATATTTGCCCACCCCTGCTTTAAGCTGACAGCTCGCCCCCCTGGCCATGGTAGAGGCGGGCTAAAAGCAGAAGTGGTGATCCTGATCCTTTTTTTTTCATTTTTGCGGAGCCTGCTTGTGTGTCCCACAGCTGGGGCGAGCTGCCTCTGAGCTGCAGGGGACCCTGGTTCTTCCCTCTGAGGTGGCAGTGCCCTCTGGGGCCACACAAGTGGGCAGCTAGTGAACCAGGGGCTGCCTCAGCTTGGAGGCAGCACCTACTGGATCCAACTCTTCCCCAAGCCTGCTGGGGCTTCCAGCACCATGTGTAGTCTCCCTGCCACCTTCCCACCACCTGGGACCACCTGGGAATGTGGTGCCTTGCCCCTGAGGCAGTGCAGGGAAGTGGTTAGGAGGGTGGCTGAGTGTGCTGGCAGCTGGAGAAGGTGGCAGGGATGGCACATAATTGCTCTGAGTTCCAATATGAAACTGGAGACAGGCCTGTTGAATGTTTCTGGGTTAGGGTCAGAGGGGAGAGCAACAAGGGTGATGTCACGGTATGTCTGCTATAGACCACCAGACCAAGAGGATGAGGTAGATGAGGCTTTCTTCAAACAGCTAGCAGAAGTTTCCAGATCACAGAGCCTGGTTCTCATGGGGGACTTCAATCACCCTGACATCTGCTGGCAGGGCAATACAGCTGTGCACAGGCAATTAATGAAGTTTTTGGAGAGGGCTGAGAACAACTTCTTGCTGCAAGTGTTGGAGAAGCCAACTAGGAGTCATGTCCTTGATCTACTGCTCACAAACAGGGAAGAATTGGTGGGGAATGTAGAAGTGGATGGCAATATGGGCAGCATGACCACAAGATGACTGAGTTCAGGATCCTGAGGAAAGGAAGGATGTAGAGCAGCAGAGTAAAGACTCTGGCCTTCAAAAAAAGCAGACTTTGACTCACTCAGAGAACTCATGGGCAGGATCCCCTGGGAGGCCAGTCTGAGGGGAAGGACAGTCCAGGAGAGCAGGTTGTATTTTAAAGAAACCTTACTGAGGGCGCAGGAATGAACCATCCTGATGCACAGGAAGACTAGCAAGTCTAGTATGGCAGAAGACCAGCTTGGTTTAGCAGGGAACTCTGCAATGAGCTAAAACATAAAAAGGAAGCTTATAAGAAGTGGAAACTCAGATGCAAGACTAGGGAGGAGTATAAGGGTACTGCTTGGGCATGTAGGGATGAAATCAGGAAGGGCAAAGTGCAATTGGAATTGCAGATAGCACAGGACATGAAGGGTAACAAGAAGGGTTTCTACAAGTATGTCAGCAACAAAAGGAAGATCAGGGAAAGTGTGGGTCCCTTACTGAATGGGGGAGGTAACCTAGTGACACGTGATGCAGAAAAGGCTGAAATACTCAATGCCTTTTCTACCTCAGTCTTCATAGGCAAGGTCACCTCCCAGACTATTGCACCAGGCAGCACAGTTTGAGGAGGAGATGAGTAGCCGACAGTGGCAAAAGAATAGGTTAGGGACTGTTTAGAAAAGCTGCGTGTGTACAAGTCTATGGGGCTAGATGTGATGCACCTAAGGGTGCTGAGGGAGTTGGCCAATGTGACTGCAGAGCCACTGACCATTATCAAAGTAAACTTGTGATTGGGAGAGGTCCTGGATGATTGCAAAAGAGCAAATATAGTGCCCATATTTAGGAAAGGGAAGAAGGAACATCTGGGGAACTACAGAGCAGTCCACTGCACCTCAGTCCCTGGAAAAATCATGGAGCAGGCCTCAAGGAATCCTTTTTAAGCACTTAGAGAAGGTGATTTAGGAAGTCAGCATGGATTCACTGAGGGCAAATCATGCCTGACCAACTTGATAGCCTTCTACGATGAGATGATTGGCTTGGTGGATGCTGGGAGAGCAGTGGACATGATTTACCTTGACTTTAGCATGGCTTTTGATATGGTCTCCCACAACATTCTTACAGGCAAGCTAAGGAAATACAAGTTTGATGAATGGACTGTAAGGTGGAAAGAAAACTGTCTGGGTCACTGGGCTCCAACGGTAGTAATCAATGGTCTAGTTGGCAGCCAGTATCAAGTAGGTGCCTCAGGGGTTGGTCCTGAGGCCAGTTTTGTTCAATATATTCATCAACAATGTGGAAGATGGGATGGAGTGCACCCTCAGCAAGTTTACAAATGACACCAAGCTGGGGGGAGTAGTAGATACGCTGGAGGGTAGGGCTAGGATTCAGAGATACCTAAACAAATTGAAGGATTGGGCCAAAAGAAATGTCCTGAAGTTCAATAAGGACAAGTGCAAAGTCCCGCACTTAGGATGGAACAATCCCATGCACCAGTACAGGCTGGAGGCTGACTGGTTAAGCAGCAGCTCTGCAAAAAAGGGCTTTGGGGTTACAGTCCTTGGCCCAATCCTTCCTGGCCTGCCCAATTCGGTTTAAATCAGATTTGGCCAAATTGAATCAGAACAGTGATTCAAATCCCCGAATCAAATCACTGTCCCCTGAATCAGCCAAATCCGAAGCGAATACTAGCAGCTTCGCACAGGCTTACCGAATATGAGCCAACAGTGTACCCTTGTTGTGAAGAAAACTAACAGCACAGTGGGCTACTGTAGTAGAAGTGTTGCTGGCCGATTGAGGGAAGTAATTATTCTCCTCTATTCAACACTGGGGAGGCCACATCTGTAACACTGCTTCCAGTTTTGGGGCCCCCACTACAGAAAGGATGTGGGCAAATTGGAGAGTCCGGCAGAGGGCAATAAAAATGGTTGGGGGGCTGGGGGACATGACTTATGAGGAGAGGCTGAGGGAACTGGGTTTATTTAGTCTGCAGAAGAAAAGACTGGGAGGGGGGAGGAGGTGTGATTAATAGCCTTCAACAACCTGAAGGGTGGTTCCCAAGAGGATGGAGCTGGACTGTTCTCAGTGGTGGCAGATGACAGAACAAAGAGCAATGGTCTCAAGTTGCAGTAAGGGAAGTTTTGACTGGATATAGGAAAAACTCTCTCACTAGGAAGGTGGTAAAGCACTGGAACAGGTTACCCAGAGAAGTTGTGGAAGCTCCATCTTTGGAGGTTTTTAAGACCTAGGTAGACAAAGCCTTGACTGGGATGAGATAGTTGGGGATGGTTCTGCTTTGAGCGGGTGGTTGTACTAGATCTGGCGTCCCTTCCAAAGCTAATTTTCTATGATTCTATGTGGCATGTTTTAATTTTGAACATCAAACGCACAATCAGTTTATTAAAACACTCTTGTAAAGGTGAGGTAGTAAAAAAACCACAACATGCTGATGCATAAGGATGCACAGGTGTACGTGCACAGGTGTTTCATAAGAGAACAAAACACTCCACTGAAGAACATTAAGATTGCAAAGTCAAGCATGTAAAAGTTAGGAATTACCAGAACGAAGTTGCCTGTGTAACATTAATGTGCACCCCCTTGTGTATGCATTAAATTGCAGCCTTTAATCAGACTATTTTTCACCACAGGACCTCTGTCTCATTCAATAGGCAACATGAGGCTGCCTTAGGCCTGAACCTGTGTTGTGTACTGAAGAACCCGTTTCCATTTGTAGCAGGGATGAGGCAGAGGATTGCAAGAAGAAAATGGACTCTCTCTTATGGTTAAAACAGCTGAATGCTGCCCTGGAGAACGGTGTCGTACCTTTGTGTCTACCAGAGAGTTCCCTCCAATTCTAGGCATGTCATGTAAACCGAATTTTTCACAGGAGGTCACTGATTGGATGCCCCTCATTTTCGTGATGTCAGGCATCAGACCCTGAGAACTGATTTGCAGAAGTGCTGAGAGTTCAGCTGCAACTGAAGTCAGCAAGAGCTATATTCTGAACACACAAAATACGGTCACGAGCTAAAGCAGTGGTTGGCAGGGAATGGCCCACAGGCTGGATCCATCCTACAGAAACTGTATTCAGCCTCCTAAGTAGATTGAGTTTACATATCCCACTGTTAGTAAAGCAGCAAGCAGTATGGTGGGCAGCAGGTACTCAGGATCAGGCATGTAATGCTCAAAAGTCAGGTGTGTCGGGGGGGGAAGAAGGGCATCTGAGCATTAGAGACTTCAGTGGAGTGCTGAGGCATGAAAAGAAAAGCTTGATAAAAGACTCGGCAGGACGACCTGTTCCAACCTGCTGTCTGAGTGACAAGTTTTTCTAAGTCCCACCTAAGCATCAGGTTAACCGCCAGCCCACCTTAAAACCAAGCTGTGTTAATTCAGCATGGTGTAAGTGAAAGGTTGCTGACCTCTGTGCTGAAGTATCTTGAAAAAAATCTGGTCTTAGGTGTCTCAAATTGGGCAGCAAAAATGAGTTTCTCCTTCATACCTTAATCTCTCTGGGTACAGTTTATCATCTGTAAAAAGGGTAAAATACATACTAATTTTCCTGGGGTCTTGTGAATATCTTTAGAACAAATCAATAAATTGTCCCAGGGGTCTTTAGAACAAAATGATAAATTAAATACTGGCAAGTCACTGGGACTAGCTGGCATTTCCCTGAGGGTGCTGAAGAAACTCAGATGTGAAACTGCAGAACTGTTAAGCAATAGTACGTAACCTATCATTGCAAACAGCCTCCGTGCCAGGAGACTGGCAGGTTACCAACGTTACGCCCATCTTCAAAAAGGGCTCCAGAGGTGATTCTGGCAAACAGACCAGTGAGTCTCACTTCCATTCCTGGCAGATTGGTAGACTCTATAACACAGAGTAAAATGAGCAGTCACGTGGATAAATATGATACGCTGTGCAAGAGTCAGCTTGGTATTTGTAAAGGGAAATCCTGCCTCACCAATCTGTTGGAGTTCTTTGAAGGCGTTGAAGAATATGCGGACAAGAGAGATCCAGTTGATGTAATATACATAGATGAAGGGGAAAAAAATTATTTTGAGAGGGCTGAGCATGTGCTTCACCATCCTGCCCAGCAGGTAAGTCTGCGGGGGAAGGTGTGGGGGGAGAGGGAAGGGGCACTGTGTTGCTCCCAGGGCAGCTGCAGCTGGGCACAAAGTGCAACATACAGTTACCTCTGCCCCATGCATAGATCCAGGGGGCATTTGCCCTCTGGGCCTCTGCTGGGGTGCACACAGTGGTGGGAGCCCGCCCCCACATCCCTGGACAAGCCACCCACACTCTGATTGTCCCACCACCCAGCGTGGCTGGGTCCCATTCACCCCAGCCCCTGCCTGTGCCTCACTCCCCCCCTCCCTCAAAATGTTGCCCCCCCCAGCCCCTTCACAGAACAGAACAGATTGATACTTGCCTGCCATGCTGCTACTGATCCACACACTGAGCTGCAATCCTGGCTGTGTCTGCGCCCCTCCCCACTCCTAGTGCAGCTGCCCTGAGCCCATGGCCGGGCTACTTTGCAGCCCTACCTGCTGACCTGCATTTTGGAGGGCTGAGCCCCATTAGCCCCAGCCTTCTGCTGCCTATGGTAATATACTTAGAGTTTCAAAAATCTTTTGACAAGATCCCTCACCAAAGGCTCCTTTAATCTTGCAGGTTTCCCTGTGCGCCTGTCCACCATTGGGGGGGGGGGGGGAGATATGCTACTCACTGCTCACTCCTGAATGGTGGGGAGGCAAAAACCACAGTTTTAAATATGGCACCATTTTTGCCTCTCACTGCTGACTGGCTGAGGGGCCCTGGCAGCCACACTGTGTTTCTGACCAGCTGGGATGCACAAACAGCACTATATTTAAAATCAAGGTTTTTTGCCTCCCCACTGATCAGAAGTGAGGAGTGGCATGCTCGATGGCTCCTTTTATTTTACAGCCTCCCCTGTGCACCCCCCCATCCACTGCTTGGTGCTCACTCCTCATCAGTGGGGAGGCAAAAGCTGCGGTTTTAAATATGGTGCTGTTTTTGCCTCCTAGCCAGTCAGCAACAGACACCATGGCTGCCAGGGCCAATCAGCAGTGAGAGGCAAAAATGGTGCCACATTTAAAACTGCTTTTTTTGCCTCCCTGCCGATCAGGAGTAAGCGGCGAGCAGTGGGGCCCCTCTGCCAATCAATGGTGGAGTCGCATAGGGGAACCTGCAAGATTAAAGGAGCCACCACGCACCCCACTCCTGCCATGAATTTGGTAGGCCCCTAGGAAGGGCCTTTTGTGTACTGAAAACTGGTTAAAAGATAAGAAACAAAGGGTGTGTCTACGCATTGCCCTATAGCGATGTTGTAACTGTGCCATGCTTTACTACTTCTTTTTGGGAGTACCAAAACACAGAGCAGTAACTGCTCC